TGTCATTAAGTGTCATTCGGTAAATTATGACACTTTTAATGCAAAGTTGACATTGTTCAAAATGTCTTTGTTATGACAACTTGACAGTAACCAAGACAAAAATGTCTTGATTATGACAACTTGACATTAACAAAGACAGAAATGATAACCAAGAAATCATAACTAGTCCAACGTGTTTCACTTTACTTGAGGTAAGGGGAAATATTAATGACACTGTTGTTAAAGCATTTGACAATGTAATAACCCTTAATGACATCTTTATAACTAGTACAATGTGTTCCACTTTACTTGAGGGACAAGTAAAATATTCATGTCACAGTTATGATGGTGTCATGACAACCAAAGTTAAAACCAACCATAACATATGAAAGGGACAGGGTAATGTAATGTTAACACAAAGCTAAATAACTTCTTTAAGTTTGATAATTAGACCCGTTAATGTCAAGTTGTCATAACAAAGACATTTTAAACAATGTCAACTTTGCATTTAAAGTGTTATAATTTACCAAATGACACTTAATGACAACAGTCATAAACATTCATAAAGACTCCTTCATGTTCATGACAGGTGTTATGTCATGTTTATGACAGTGTCATGACAGTCTTATGCACCTCCTTCAAATAAAGTGTTAGCTACAGATTGTATCAAAACAGCTTCACAGTGATAATGGAAATAAAACAACAAAGTTTGTTTCTAGATACATAAACTAATATACATAAAGATCGCAAAACACCCTGGACTACAGGCTTACTGTTAGAAATAATCAACCTAAAGTATAAACATCCTAAAAATATAGTCAGAAATGAGCTCACTTCGTTAATAATTTTTGTCATGCCCTGAGAGGTGAAAAGCTGTGAAAAGCTTCCACAACACAATAAATTTAGATTTAATGAAATTTATTGAAATATAATAAATGTAGAAAATTAGATACTAATTCACAGTATAGCTACACAGTATATATATATATATATATTTCATGTTCTCACCACAGTGCAGTGGCTCTTTGTCAGACAATGAACACATACTGTACACTGATAAGCCCATATACACCATAGAACTACATCACATGATCAACCAGATGAAAAAATAGACTCAATATAATGGTAAACAACCATATCACTGTGACTTAACAAAAAAAAAGTTACACCTTTAATTAACAAATATATCAATCAACATAACCGTTCACATCAAAACACACCTGTATTGATATTACACAACTGTGCACATATCAATAAAAATAACTGTTCATCAGCTGGAAAAATCCTTCTGAAAGTGATTCCTCAGGGCTTTTACTGAGACAGATATTCATCATGCTACAGAGAAGTGTTTCCCAAACCTGTTCCTGGAGACTTCCTCTTTTTGATTTTCTAATTTTAGATTGACATGCAGAAGAAGATGCGTCTCACTGGAATCATCACCCAAGGAGCCAGCCGCATGGGGACAGCTGAGTATATCAAGGTTTTTAAGGTGGCATCCAGCTTTGATGGCAAAACATACACGGTGTACAGAGCGGATGGCCAGAGAAAAGACAGGGTAAGAAATCCAACTTTATCAATACAGCACAAGCCTTCCTTAAGTGATTAAAGCTATTATCATTCCCTGACTCAGTATTTTTTCAGGTGTTTATGGGAAATACAGATAATGACGGAACAAAGACAAACATGTTTGACCCTCCCATTGTGGCCCAGTATATTCGCATCATTCCTGTGGTGTGCCGTAAAGCTTGTACTCTGCGGATGGAACTTGTGGGCTGCGAGCTTAATGGTACATTCAGATGAGTTAACTATGAATCACTGTTTTTATATGAATCACTTTTTTCATGTTTACTCATTTTCCCTAACATGACAGTGCAGTCCAGCACAATCGGTTGCACTGATCCACTGGGCATGAAGTCCCGTCTCATCTCCGACGTGCAGCTTACGGCATCTAGTATTTTCCGTACTTGGGGTATAGATGCCTTTACCTGGTATCCCCACTACGCTCGCCTGGACAAGCAAGGCAAGACTAACGCTTGGGCGGCGGCAAACAACAATCGCTCAGAGTGGCTCCAGGTGAGACTGTGTGATGACGTGTCTAGTTTTTAGAAAGCTGTTTTGATTTTCTATCTGCTGTAGTTTCCCTTTTCATCAAAAAGGAGGGGAGTGGTGGATTTATTCCTTGAAATCATTGAAATCATAATTGCTAAAGAATCAAAACAGGAAATCAAAAAAATCAATATTTATTTATACAGCCCTTTACATCCCTTTTTCAAGGTGAACCAAAGTGGTTTTTGAAAACGAAATGCATAGATCTACCTAAAGACAAGAATAACTAAATTAGCTAACGCTATTCCATTATTTTTCTTATTTAACATAAATTTTTTTGAAGGTAACTGACCGTAGTCTGACGTTTGCCTCTGATGTTTTATGTGTTTTTTTTGTTTTTTTCTCATGTGACAGCTGGATTTGGAGAAACCTAAAAGAATCACAGGCATCATCACTCAGGGAGCAAAAGACTTTGGAGTTGTGCAGTTTGTTTCAGCCTTTAAGCTCGCTTACAGTAATGATGGACAAACATGGAGCATTGTGAAGGATCAAATAACAAGAACAGATAAGGTTACCAGTGACGACAATATCTCTGCTTTATTTATTTATTTACATTTTTTTAATGAAATGAATTGTTTAATCGGCAAGTAATTATTAAATTGATCACAGTAAAGACATTTATAATGTTACAAAGATTTCTATTTTTGAAATAGAAGTTTCAATTATATTCTATTTTCTATGTATCTTTTGAGCTTTCTATTCCTCAGAGAATCTTGAAATAAATAAAAAAAAAGGAAATAGGTAAAAATTTTTAATAAAAGTACTAATAGTAAATCAGCAAATTATAAGACACTGAAAACTGGGGTAATTTATTCCATCACAGGAATAAATTACACTTAAAAACATTGTATTTATTTTGAATTGTAATAATATTTCACAATATTCATGTTGTTACTGTATTTTTATTTTGTAGGGTGCAGTATAGCCTCTCATACTTTTTTGTTTATTGGGTACAGTGAATATTAGGATTACATTGTCAATGAATTCCCAGTTTTCCATGTTGGGACCTGGATACAAAGAGGAAATGAAATCATTTTCAAACTACGAACTCCACTTAAATTAGTAGCCTTTATCAAGTCTTTATTTCAACAGAATTCTAAAATTGAATAAAATCCTCAAAGCAAACAAATATTACATTTAGTTATGTTCATTTCATCTCTGACTAATTGAAATGTTTGGGTTTTTTTCCCTGTAGATTTTCCAAGGCAACATCGACAACAACACATACAAAAAAGAACTTGTTTGAGCCTCCGTTCTTTGCACGATTTGTGCGGTTTCTGCCCTGGGAGTGGCATGAGCGGATAACTCTACGCATGGAGCTGCTGGGCTGTGATGATTAGTCTGCACTGCTTTTGCCTGAAGTGTGTCTGCTGGTTATAGCTGATGATTTGTTTCAATATACATTAGCTTCAATTGTTGCTCTGTATTTTATTGTATTGATGTCATTGTTTTAATGTACCTTTGAAGGGTCTAATTTTAACGCCTTTTGGCACAACTTCAATTTTAGGAAATCACCTTTTAAGCAAGTTTCAGAGAACATTACAAAATTTGAAAAACATAAACCTTAAATTGTAATACTTTACTAAAATTGTTAGTCCCACAACCAATGAACATTCTTGTATTTCAATATGGATGTCCTGATTTATAATGAAATATACAAACTATAAATATCTAAATATGTAAATATCTTTATTAGTCCTTATCTTTGGCCACCAAGGTGAGAACCTATCCATGAAGCAACCTACCTGCTTCCACCTGTCTTAAATATTACATCCCACTAGTGCTAATGTCCAATAGTTGACCTTATTCTGCCTTTTAGCACACAAAGGAAAATCGTCAACTTGTAATTTTCTGTAAACACACAAATACGAGCTACAACATATTTTTCTGAACTAATCTAGACTGTCTGGAGTACATTTATATTCAGTATGGGTCTGTTAGAAACATTTCTGTAAATTAGAAATGAATTAAACACTCCAGGAAAATGTTATTGCTGAAATGTCATGTTAAGAGAATGGCTCACATCAATTGACTCGTTTGCACTGCAGTTGCTCTACATTTTATACTACAGTTTATACATTTTATAACTCGATTTTATCTGAGTCAATGTAAACAACCAAATTGGATTAGAATTGTACAACTGCAAATATTGAGTATCTTTTGTAAAACACATTGTCTTTAACAATATTAATAAATATGTGAAATATTTCCGCTTCTCCTTGTTTGTGGCTCAAACTGAGGAAGATTTTCAACATGTGCTTTTTCAGAAATAAATATGTGTGAGACTATGTGGTCTTTTAATCTCAAAATAATAGATTCTGAAATAAAAGATTCTTAGATGTGTAGCTTTGGATTCCCTTCTGTAAGT